TGTTTATTTGAACAAAGAATCGTGAGAGAAGAAGATGGGACTCGATGAGCCTAAACGGCTCTTCTTTCTGTTTCCCGAATACTCTTGTTCATCCTTCCCCGACTGTTTGTACATATACTGCTAACTACTACATTGGAATAGTTCTCTAGAAGAAGAAAATGCACTGCACCTCGTTCGGTGGCTCAGTCTTGTTTTGCATATCCCTGCCCATAGTTTAACTCTTTGTNCTAGGGCTGAAAAAATCGTCGGAGTTGACAGACGATGTGTAGGGGTATGAAAAATTATGTCTCAGTAATGCCTCGGGGTGGTTCAGCCCAACTTTCAAGTTGGTACCGAAGGAACAGGGACGGACTGCGGCTGGTTAAAGAGGCCGCGAGATTTGGATTAGGAAGGGATTTCAGTGGTACAAATATTGTACGGTCTACTCGTCGAAATTTTGGGCCCCACCAGTTTAGTTCAGTTTTTAAACCAATAACCGTACAACTTCGTAAGATAGTTTTGACTGCTGCCCATTTGAATAAAGAGCAGAAGGATAATTGGATTGTTGAGAGCAGAGACTTTGGTTGCAAGGATAATGAGTAGATGAACGAACACCACTGTTCACGAAACTCAACCATTTATATATATATATATCAAGAGAGAATGGAGGCGTACACTGGGTTGTAAAATGTTTATTGTAACGTTTCGATCCAAACTAGGACTCGTCGTCAAACGTATATATATATAGTCTCCTCATGTTTACCTGGTTGGTTTAAAGAGAATATCAAAAGTAAATCATAAAAGAAGTGGAATAAGTTATGAACAATATCGACTCAAGCCGATACTGTCTACGAATTTACGAGAGTTTTCTGGGATAATTGCTGTGAAGCAAACAATTCAGATCAATTTTCCCGGGTTAGTAGAAATTTTGGATTAAACAAACTGCTTCCCCAAATAACAGTCTGGGACAGTGAACAGTGAGATTTTCTTGAGTATAACTTGATACGCGAACGGCATTCATTTATATAATTAAAGGATTACTGAGGAATTACCTGGGATACATTCACGCTAAAAATGACATGCGAGTAAACCAAAACAAAAGATCTAGACAGTCAGTCTTGTAGAATATGGCGAGTGAGAAAAGATGGTTCATTTCTTGAGTCTTTCATAATGAATGAATGAAGCTTTATTCAAAGTCCAAAGACAATACCAAAGTGTTGTTGGTTCCCTATCGTCAGAAATAATCCGAATCACCCACCCCCACCCGAAAGATTCGTCAGCTTCAGTTAGATTTTCATCGCACACGAACGTCAACTGAAGGTGGACAGAATTCAGTCGCTCCAAATGAAATTGTGCACCGTCAGAGGAGTGTGTGTGTGATCACGCGATATCCTGAGCTGTACACCGGGCAGGTGCGCAATCCCGGGAACTTTGTAACGCTTCGAAATGCGGTGTCCGCCGTCAGCCATAACAGTGGCGTTCAAATTGCTGAGTTAAAGTTACTGAAGTTTATCAGAACCGGGAATGAATGTGAATTGTACGAAAAAATAGGTGGCAAAAGTGATCATTCATGCTTCTGTCTACTCGGTCGTTCGTATTTAAGAGCTTGATCGCTGTTGGGGGTGTTGGGGAGGAGATCACATCAGGAATAAAGAAAGCTGGAGAAGCTTTCGACAATCTGCGACACCTGTGGCGCCGCCATGTCATCTGACTGAGGGAAGGGTGTACCTTACCGCAGTTCGTAGCGTTTTGCTGTACGGTTGCGAGACGTGGCCCCTCCACGTTGAGGATGTTAATCGACTTTCAGTATTCGACCACGGATATCTCCGAAGCATTGCTCATGTCTGGTGGGAACATCGTGTGAGCAATGATGAGGTCCGTCGTCGTGTGTTGGGTGTGGATAGTCGTTCTCTGACAGAAGTAATCGCTCTACACC